GGAACACTTGTGACCAAAACCTACTCTCATTCTTGCATAAAATTTTCTACTTCTGGATCCCATTTTCTTTTCTCCCCTCTTCTAACATCTGAGCACAGTTCGTTTTTAATTTCCATTAAACACTTTAATGTTACTTTTTAGTCTTTTCGAAAAAAGATACTGCTATTAAGCTAAAAAAGAAAAAGGAATAGTAAACCAAATAGTCAGAAAGAACGTTATATCCATGATATTAAAATCTTGCGAATTAATCGTTAACATGTGGTTTTGAGTTAAGAAAAAAATGCCGATATATCAAAAAAAATTCATGATGCAGGAAACAGTAATAACAGATGTTTTAATATCGCTTATTTAGATTATTTCATAGTCATACTTCAAGTCCGGAATACGATTTGTAAATAATTCCTAAAAGAGTAAGGAAAGACAACGGCAATTACATTTTCACGGGTAAGAATAGTTCAAACCAAAAAAATAAAATTATAATTGGAGTAAGAATAGTTCAAATTTTCGAAATCAAAAAAGAAACGCATCAGCAGCTTACCTTCCACGGAGTCTCCTCGACTTGTTGCTTCTAATAAAGCTACTTCTGGACTGAACTTCAAACGCTGATGACGGGGAAGTGTTGGTGTCATCTGTTTTTCACGTTCATCCCAATTTCTTAGTTGTATCCTTCTTCGTTCACTGAAAATAATAAGGGGAAAATTGCAATTTAAAAACAAGATTCTAAATGTAGGATAGTAGAATATAGAATACGTAGAATCTGTAAATACGAAATATTGGGAGATTCAATCCTAGATCCATTCAGAAACTTGAAAATAAATAAGGAAAATAATCCAATTTACAGTCACCTCACATTCATCCACATTCTAGTAAATGAAAGTTTATGTAATGTCACGATAAAGATCATGAGAAGTAGATCAATATATAAAGATTCTGTCTGAAACTGACCGTGCCAAAGCGATCCGTTCAGCCGGTGTCATTTTTTCGATTTCGCTTAGCTCTGCCACCAAATCTGCGTGATCCATCTTCTCCCCTTTTTATCTATTGTCTGCAAATTTTCAAACAGTTGAAATTCAAACTTGAAAAACTACCGAAATTTATCCCTTTTAACATACTCATCAGTAGATGTAGGAGAAAAAAATATCCAATACTTACTAGAATATCATCTGTTATCAATATCTGTTTTCAAAATAATGAGATGGGATAAGAATCCGACAAAAACGAACGAACGAACGAATTTAGTACCGCTGAAGAAAAATTTAAGTCATCCGCTAATCATTGAATATAGTCACATGTTATAGTACTATGCACTTAACTCCACAATTCCAATAAATGAACTGAAATCAAATACAAGGAACGATGAACTTTATTTAATCCTTTCTAGTCTAACTCTCTTCTTTCTTCCCTCTAATATCATGGTCACTAACTTTAATTTAAATATCCTTCCATACATTATTGATAACATAATAGGGAAATTGCATCCTTTTTGAATGTGCTGATGTCGACGTATGATATCATAACATATATTCTAGTTTGTAATGTAATTTACTTTCGCTTTTTTTTCTTTTTTTTAAGAGAATTAAATCATTAAACATGAAAATGGTGACGATAATTCATAAACACACTTGAAAAATGTTGAACGCAAATGTTTCGTGACTACACACTCTCTTATGTTTTAATGACAACGTTAGCTCGTTGGTTGCAACAACGACGAGAACAACAGCAGCAGTGTATCCCACAGCGTCAAGAAATGAAATATTGTGTATGAATAAACAGATAAGAAAATTAAATGAAGGCAACAATTGTACTCCACCGGTATGTCCGAAAAAATTGAAACTTATAATTGCAGAAAATACTTGTTATTGTGATTCACAGAATGATGCTGCTGTAGGAGAGCGATAGCAGATTTGAAGAATTCCATGTTTCAACTTAAGTGAATATAAGTATAATAAACGGGTCAGACTGCTTCTGGACCAATTCTCCAGAGTTTAAATTTCAGATTTTCCTAATAATAGCCTTCCACCTCATCTGTAAGTTGTGCTCGTGTCAACTTGCTAATGTAGATGCTGTTGAAGGACGATAAAATATGATATCTGAAATTCAGTTGATTTTTCTTCAATATATTTAACGAAATTAACAGGAATATTGAGATAGCAACATTATAAAGCAACAGTGAATATGACCAACAATTCGAAAATTACTTGCATAACCAATAATTTGCTAATCAATAACTTATATCATTCATAACTAGAAACAGTTGGAATATATTTGCGATATAATACTACTTTATTACTTAATAGGGAATCAATGACTTGTATCCTTTACTGTTAAACATACAACAAAAAAGTAAACAAAAAACAAAGTCTCATTTTTTATTAAGAGGAATGTGCTAAAGCTCGTTAAAAAAAAAAAAAAAAAAAAAAATTGTATTTCTCTTTTAAACGATACCTTTGAAGAGTAGTCCAATTAAAAATAAAAAGAAAGAACAAATCGTTGCCACAATGTTATGCCTAACATCAATCGTCATGCGAAATTCGCAGCAAAAAAAAAAAAAAAAATTCGAGTAGATTTTCTCCGCCTTCAAACAGAGTAACTTTGCACGCCATTAAATGATGTGACATCAACCCGAACGTATAGCGATTTACGCAAAAAATAAGATGGATTTTCAAAACTGCTAGAAATCAAACGAACAACACAGGCTGATATATATATATATATATATATGCCCATGCAAAAATTTTATTTCAACGTAATTTAAAAAAAAAAAAAATCGTTGAAACAAAAATTTTAAACGTATCATGGGTTGTCAACGTAGTGATAAGCAATGAAGAGAACTAGACCGTACTTGAGATTACTTATGTACTGGTTGCAAGCCTCAGTGGTATCATAAGGAAAGTCTGGTACCACCGTAGCGAGAGCAGACCTCACTACTAGAAAACTGGATTGTAGACGATTTATTATTCAGAAAACACCGTTACAAGATAAAAAAGATTTCAGACGAAATTACGGTATATTTCTACACTAAAATGTAAAAAGATGATGGAAATATGAAAATCCAAAGTATAGTCACGAAAAACTTTCGTAGGGAATCACTGAAAAAAGAAACACATTTATTGTTTCTTTCCAAAATGAACTATATTAATTGGAAATTTCTGCAACATTTTAATTAAATTAGTTATAACTAAGCATTCATAATTTCATAAATATGAGAAATGACTAAATATATTGGTAAATACCACAGCGATATTACATATCAGTTAAAATGATTATTATCCACGCGCCGAAAGATTAATGAACTGATGAAAAATAAAATGGACAGTTTTGCGGAGAAAAAAAGCGAAAATTTATTTTAACAGTTAAAGAAACACTTGCTACAGTACCAGGGAATTAGAAAAAGCATCTGGTGACAATCGGGACAGATAAAAAAAACAGTGTAGCTGCACAGGCAAAATACTACTACGATCCAATCGATGGGAAAAAATCCCATCCTAATTGTTAAGTTCTGAGTGAGAAACTGAACAAATGGCGAAACTGCTTCACAACATTTGAGAGGATCATGTAAATCATGCGTACCAGAGGTCAATAGAACACTTTAATTTTTCACTGGCTTTATTCTTACACTCTTTTTCCTCGTTTTTCCCTTTTCTTCATCCTTCTCAAAGTTCGCATAACTGAATTCAACTTATATGAAGTTTCAGGGAATAAAGAGTATTCTCGACACCTTCCCGAGATTTATGAAATACAAAGATAGTATTGAAAAGTACGGGATTCCCTCATAAACATGAGATTCGAAGTAAATAGTTAGGGGAGCCTGTAAAAGTGAAGGTTTCTGAATATCGATCCTAACCATCGAAACTTACTGAAAAAAACGATATCCCTGCTTGTTATATTCTTTAACTAGATTGGCCTGATCACCGATTTTTCCCTTACAAGATTAAACTAAAAAACAATGAAGACTGATACATTCTCCTCATGGATAACCTTTCCAAATATTCTGGAAAAATTGTTAGTTGAATAATTGCATTAATCATTGCACGCTAACTTCTCGGAGTTTTGATAACGTGAACATATGCATAATTTAATTTAAAATAATTACAGACTAAAATATGTAGTTAGTATATACTTTCCGACTTATGCCATATATCAAAAAAGAACTACTACTTTTCCTAGTTTAATTCAAATAGGTGAATTTAAGGCAGAAATAAGCTCGATTCACAAATCATTCATGATTTCTGCGACTGATGTGCTATGTTTATTCCATTTCTGCCATTATCCACATGAAATTTTAATTATTTAAGCTTAAACCCTACAATGATTGCAGAAACTAACATCATTTTGCTGGAAATTACACAGATGAAGTAATAGGAACTCAAATGCTTTGTCAAAAGAAAACAAATATTAAAAAAAAATTACTGATGAGTTTCTCGAAGAAAAAATTTTAAAAAAGAGAAAAACTAAAAGAGCTGAAATGGCACAACCACTTCAGTTGGCAGATCGTTTTATTTCTTCGCTTTTCGCCTTTGTTCTCTTTTCCTACTCCTAAAATTTAAAAATGAAAAAAAATGAAATTGAAGAGTAAGAGAGAACGTAACACCAAGGTACACCTGGTGTTACGTAACACCGTAACGCCAAATTACTGTCAAGGCTTAACAAGACCGCAAGATTAATGGCGTTAATATCAGAAATGAGTCATAGATATACAAGCACAATGAGTTATATATATTCATACATATGTTATGGATAGCTTGGATCAATATTTCCGTTAGTGCATTATCGATTTATTTATTACTAAATATCAACCGCATCATATGAAAAACTGCAGGGGAAGTGAGATAAACGAAAACTAGACGAGAAAATAATAGAGAAATATTGCAAGGCTTAACACAAATTCGAATTCTTTCATATAAGCGAAAGCAGCAGCAAAAAAAAAAAATTAGTGGCACTGTTTTTTTTTTTCTTGATGGTTTAAATTACTAAATGGCAGATTAGCAAAAACAGCTGCCTAGCACATGAACTTTTTCTTACTTATTTTACTGATAATTTATTCTCGAAACCAGTAAATACTTCGCTTGAACTTCAGAAATTCTTGAATGTTTAAAAAAATGGGAATAAAAATGAGAAAAAAAAAGAAAATTCGCCATATGTGGTATGTCCAAAAATGGCATAAATGGTCTGTTGCAGATCAGTTATATTAGGAAATTGGTAATTTACCAAAATTCGATTGAAATACTAGAAAAACCATGATTTCACGACTGGTCAAGAAAAAGCGATCATGAATGGAAAAGTTTTGCTAATATGTGCTATTTCTTTGCGGTGTTTTATGAGTATTTCCTTTGCAGTCCTCCTTTTCTAAATTTTATGTATTCTCTAAAAATAAAATGAAACGGAAATATTACTAAATGTCGTTGTGTATATTTGCTTTTTGAACTTGATCAAAAATAAAGAATTATCGTAGACAACGGTCCAATAAATAAGTCTGAGTTCATGAAAAAATATCTGAACTTCTTTCAAAGTGGCTATTAAAAGATGAAAAACTTTCATGTTAGTGATTCGTTGTATAAGGTATCGTATTGCAAATATTCCACTGAGACATGTTTACTCTACACTATAATTATCAAAATTATGAAAATACGGTTTGTCTAGAGCTGATTCACACTGATACGTAGCACCAAGGAGACAATATAATTGTCCTGCGCTAATACTGCTAGCAAATATCAACACATTAATTCACATATCAATTTGTATTAAAATCATTGCCTATCTAAACAAGGAAACTGAAAACTCCCATGATACAAAGGTAAAATCAAAATTACTCATGATCCAAGAAGGAAGACTAAAAATGAGCCAAAAAGCAAAGAAGAAAAGGAAAAAAAGAGCAAATTAATACCACTATTGAAAGAACATTTTTCAACTTGCTCAAATGCCGTTATGTTCAAATGCTATTACTAATATGAAACTGGTCTGTTACACGAGCTTGTTTCCACTTAATGATTTTGTCCACTTGATTCCATTTAGTCCACCAAAATTATGGTCAACTACCAAAATATTTGAAAACAAATAAACAAAATTTAGATCCAAATTTTAACATTGGAACGTACTCGCTACATTACTTAGAAACTAGTCATATTTGTAAGCTTACGTACAACAGTAAAACTGGAACCGGAACGGATACACGTAACCATCTTCATTGAAACAAAAAAAAGTAAACCAACTACGACGATTTCTAGGTTGGCCACTACGTCATCGAATTTCGAGATCTCAAAGAATACCACAAAAATTTCACGCGTCCAACATGGTACATCAAAGAACGGCAATTATGAAAATTCCCGTCTACTTGAAACGCTATTGCACAAAAACCACATGCATTTCGATCGGTGATGGTCCATTCATGTTTTAGTTTACTTCATTTTTTTTCTGTTCGACTTTCCGAAATCTAAATTTTAAATTTTATGAAATTTAAATGAAAATTTCATGAGATTTTATGAAAAATTTGCTAAAAATCTGTATTTTGAATAATTAAAAATGGTTGATTTCTTTCAAGAAAAAATAATATTAATGCTTTCTCCATTTTGTTGGTAGTAGTAATCGAATTTATACTTGTTTACTGAAATTAATATTTTGCTTTCACTCAGTTTTATTTTCTCCTCTTGA